TGAATGTATATTTTCTACATATCTAATAGTCTGTCCCATTCTTTGAATCAGACAAATACCTTCACTGTTCTAAATTTATAATATCAGAAGAATCACTGATGAAATGTGTGTTWTATTTTCTAGGGAGGACTGTCAGGAGACCTGTGAGTGAGATGGACTTACCATGGAGGATTCAAAGCTCTGGGTGAYGATGAGGTGCTGATGAACACAGTGTTTGCTTCCATGCACAGAGGATGGATGTGACTGTGGACTGGGACTCAGAGAATAACATTTGTGACACAGAGGGGACACATTCAAATTATCCCAGAAAGACCAGGAAGCAGRTGGCAGGCATGAATTACTTGTGCAGTCCTCCTGGCAACTCTGCTGGACTTTCAGGAAAGAAGGAGCTTCCTGCAGAGCGGGAGAGGAGTGGAGACAAAGAAACTTGTGCCACCCACAGCCAGAAACAAGATGAGAATSCAGCTGGGGAGTTTGCCCCCTCCAGCACCAACTTTGACCTGCAGAGTGAAGTTAAGGATTTAGATCACCGCTCCTCTGAGAGAAAACCACGGATGATAACAAAACTCCGTGCGGACAACAAAAGCGCCACTCTCAGGGSTGTGTTTGGTGAGGAGCCTGTCCCTTTGGAAGCTCTGCCCTACCATTGCAAGAAGTGTGGCTCCTCTTTCCACAACGTCAGCGAGCTGCAGGAGCACAGGCGAGCTCACCTGGTGGACAGCTCCTACCGCTGTCCCATCTGCTCCAAGGCGTTCTCCCGCGCCGCCAACCTGCGCATGCACAAGCTGATCCATTCCAGCGAGAGGCCGCACAAGTGCCCCGAGTGTGACAAGGGCTTCATCCGCACGGCCGATGTCTGGAGGCACCTGCGCAACGTGCACAAGATCGAGCGCTCCATGGTGATCCTGGGGACCGGCGTGGCCAGGAACCCCTGGTCCGTGCTGCACCGCAGCCAGCACAGTGTCGAGTGCCCGGATCAGGCTTGTCCCGAAAACCCAAAGTCTCAGGAAGATTTCAAACCTTACGCCTGCCCGACGTGCGGCAAAGGCTTYGATAAGCCCAACCTGCTGTCCAAGCACAAGGTGATCCACCGGGAGGACAAGCCCTACAAATGTCAGGAGTGTGGCATGGCATTTGTGCAGCTGCTCAGGCTCAAGAGACACCAGCAGACTCACTCTGGGGCACGGCCCTTCTATTGTGAGGAGTGTGGGGGGACCTTCACCCGGCTGGCATCGCTCCAGCGCCATCACCGCATCCACACCGGAGAGAAGCCCTACTCCTGTAATTTCTGTGGGCATTCCTTCACCGAGTCTGGCACCCTACGGAGGCACGAGCGCACACACAAGTTGGACAAACCTTAATTTGCGGTCTCTGTGGTTGCTTCTGACCTGAAGGAGGTCTGCTCAGTTGGGCAGGAAAAGCACCCCATGGTATGTGCTCTGTCCAGTCCGGACCCACTGCCCAGCAGCAGCTGGCAGGGAATGCTGCATCACAGGGAGCTCTGGAACTTGGACTGGGAGAGATTGCTTGGCTGCGATGGCTTTAAAACTGCCTGGCTTTAAACTGCTTTGTATGAATAAAATAACCTAATTACCAGTGAGTAATGAAATGGGAGACTTGAGGAGACTGAAATCACTCACATGTGCTTGTGCTGTCTCTGTTTGCTGGACTGGTGATACATCAGCTTGAGCTTTGTGCAGGGATGTGCAAGCACAGGCTGTGAGAACACACTGGATAAATCAGCCCTGCCCTCTTGAGTGTGATGGCTCTTTGACATTGGGTTTGGAGATCTRTTATTGCAGGTCTTTACTAAGTTAGAACAGTCCAGAGTTGTCCCTMTATCCCTTCTGTCCTTGTATTTTGCTGAGTCGTTTTTTCTGTTACACTGCTTTTTATTTGGAAGGGGGAGTATCATGTTGGTTATCAAAAAAAACCCCAGACCCCACTTAGAAACTAGTTCCTTAATAAATACAACATTTACCAGCTGTATTTCAGAATGTTTCTATCTGAGGGAGTACCAACACTTTATGCACATTTGTGTGATGAGTTGAATGTCTGTTAATAATGGGGAAAGYTTTATTTTTGCTATGATRGTGCATGCTCTTGGGGTGAGGAGTTCAAATGTATTTATGTCTCTGATGCAACCATGCACTCTAAATCCAGCTGAGTGATGCAGAAGCAAGCGTTTGAGGACACAAAATTCAAAGAGAAAAAKACCAAATTTAAGCCACCTTTGCTACTCTTTGCATAGGAACCTTCTTCATTTAAATTATTTCATACATAGGAAAGCTTCTCGTAACAAAACCATGTTCTGTCACGTGTCCAAGTACTACCCAAATGTCTGTTAGACTCTTCACTTTGATTTAGATTCAAATGGTAAGTGAAAAAAAMAYTCCTTAAGAAACCAGCCCGGCAGACTGTGACAGGTGTGGACCAATATGCCAAAGCTGTGACTTCCAGGAGGTGTGAAATGTCTCAGTGATGGCAGTGGGGCTTTAACTGTGAAACTAAATAATGACTCTTTATCTRCTGTTAACCACTGGTAGAAGCATCCAGTTTGTCCTTAAGTTGCAGCCTTRGTTTCTTTTCCATGTCAGAARGCTTTGCTTCCTTTCCYCCTKYCAGCTGCCAAAATTTCACTGATTTCTTTCTAAAGCTTTCTGCCTTTTCAGTGGGAAGTTGTGCAGCAGACTGAAGGTAAATCTTCAGGGTATWGTRYCTAAAATRCATTTMCAACCAAGCTATTTAATGTAGGGTGCCGGTTGTGCCATTTGTTTCCCTATTTCATAGAGTAAAAACATGCTGGCAGCCCAGCACCTTCCACCTGTGCAGCAGCTGAGCAGGTGTCACAYRGTGGGTCCTGTTGTGTTTGGTGTCAGGTCCTTGGCTCAAATCAASGTGRACCACTSTCCACAGCAAAACTTTAACTYGATTAGAAATGGGAGAATAACTGGCATCACTAAAGCACTATTTTTATTTAATTCCTGTAAGAAATCTCCAGATGAGGGAACTGATCTGCATCCTGCTCCYGAGGGATGTGCTCTGTGGTCTGTGTGCATTTGTAATGCTGGGATGGCTGGGACCTGTGTGAGACTTCTCCAAACTCCCCTCTGCAGGAAGCTCCAGTTGGGTTTTAGGTTTGCAAAGGGCCTTTGATGAGTCCCTTAGCAACACCCCCCTCTTATCTGAAGGCTGTGGAGCCTCTCAGAGAGGATAGATCTTTGCATGAAAAGAATCCTGGCTGGCTGTGGGTGAGTGATGTGCAGAGGGCTGTCACCAGTGATGCTCTGTGGGGACCCTGCTGTTCAGCACCACCTGAGGTGACCGGGAGAGGGGGCAGAGAGCAAGCTGACAAAGCTCTTCCAGAGACTATCCAGAGACATTAAGTTTCCACACTCATTTTCTAATCTCATTTTGAAGTTATCAGCTGCAGTCTCCTGTGCTGATCATCTTGATTCTCTTTTGGGTATGAGGTGCTCCTGCTGTAGGGGGGTTKAATATCCAATTAAGCTGCACCACTTATGCACACCTTTATGTTGTGTGACAGTTCCGCTTAGGCAGTTATGATAATTGGGAACATCCAGTTATTCTGCYTTTTGGTGCTAGCAGCCGATGGAATTTGAAGCTCTCGCATAATGGTGGAAGTATTTTGAACAAWGGTCTGTTATAYGGGAAGAGTAAATGGTGAAATGAAAACTACCAGGCTTAACTAAAAGGTTATTAAAAAGACACTTGCCTGGAAGGTTGACTTGCATGGAAAGTGCTTGGATGTGYGAAAGGAGTAATTAAAATGTGTGATGGTTTCTGGGAAAAGTGTGTTGAACTCTCCTCAAAGGAACTTCCACTAACTCCTGTGCAAGGTACAGAAAACCCCATGGAGCTTAATTTAACCCAGAGGTCAGTACTTCTGCACTTTACATTTGTAACATAAAGGTTTGGAAGTCTCTCCCAGGCCCCGACCCTCTCACAATGTCAGTCTGAGTGGGTGATAGCCAAAAACAGACATAGCCAGTCATGACATCTGGCTGACATGGGGTAAATAGACCTGCCCTGCAGCATTAGGGAGGGTTTGAAGAGTATGCTTTCAGGAGAAGTAATTTTTCTTTACCCAGACTGGCCAGAATATTTGTTAGCTCATTTGGATCTGTGGAGGCCATGGAAGAAACAATTCYTKKRACACTGTGTTCAAAGACCCTAATTSCCAGGATATTACAGGAAGCCCTTGAACATGAGCATAGRGCTRSAGCCCTGAGCTAGSCTGAGAWTCCAGATTTGATCACTGTAYAGTATTTGTGAGCASTGAAACACAGAAATACCCTTTGCTTTTTGCTAATTTTCCTGTYGACTCCCTATATCACATGTGCCCAMCTCATTTCCATCACARGAAATTGTTCTCAAGACTAWKAAAATAGAATAGCTCCAGCCATGCAGATTCCAGTCCCTCACTGACCTGGAATCACTRGCCAGTCCTTGGMAGCTAYRGTACTGTTTTCTCACTTATTAATAAAGGTGTTGAAGGTAAATTTCTTAACCTTTGCTACCAAAGGTGTTGACAGTAAATATGCCTGTGCTTGAGGAGTGTGGATACAGCACTGTGAAAAAGGGAAAAGCTACTGCTGTACAATCTGTGTCCCCTGCACAGCATCCTTCTCCTCTTGCACTGTTTGCCTTCTCCTGCCAAGGAGAAGTCTGAAGCAGGAGTCTCCCATGTAAACGGGGAACACCAAGCAATGCATCATTTGTCAGTTAAGCCCAGCAGAGGGCATTGAAATCTTAGGAGGAGACAGCATTTATCTAAAGTGAGGCTTCACCTGCCTCTGATCTTGGAAAGTTTCTGTTGCCACAAGGAGCTCCCGCAGCGCTTTTTGTACTTCCAGACTGAAACCGAGCAGGGGCTGAGCTCTCACCAACAGAACTGCAGATGAAGAGCATTTTGCTCAGATACCATTCTGGAAATAGAAAGGGGAACTGTCTTTACTTTGGTGATTTCATCTGTGTCTGATGCTTTGAGGAATAAAATTGTGGGCCTGTGCAAGGTTAGAGGCATCTTCAAAGATCAGGCACTGAATGGGAGCAAGCCAGTGAACCAGCTAATACAGGTCTCTACTGCAGCAGAGTGCAGCCCATTTGTAAATTCCTTCTAGGATGTGCTGCTAAAGTGCTCTGTGGGAAAGTTGTTTTCCAGAGGAGGGTGTGCTCAAGTGAATGTGCTCGTGAAGCTCATGGAATGGCAAGAAAGCCATTCTATCTGCCTGAAGAAATCATCAGAGCCATCAAGTCCTTTTCTCATTAAGGGATCTATCTCAAGTGTTGTTCCAGTGCTTTACACCTGAAAGCAGGAGCAGTGATTTGTTCTGTTTCTCTTCAAGCTTCCAGCACACTTCCCCTGGGCTGCAAGGGATTCTTTGGGAATATTAGGTAACGGCTCGGCAACTTCAGTGGCTTCTGGCCTTGGATGTTTCCAGGGATGGAGCATCCTCTCTGGGCAACCTATGCCAGCATTTCACCTCCCTCACTGTAAAAAACTACTTTTTTAACATCTTTGGGATAGAGACCATATCCCCAGGGTTATCATAGCACAGACTCTGACACGGAAGAGGGTTGGGGAGGAGAAGAGATGGGAGTTCATGTCAACACAAATAATATCCCTGAGTTTACCTACAGTATTTCCTTCTCTGTTTGCAGATTGTGACACAGCATTGAGTTGGCAATGATCACACAGTAATCACTGCAAGAATGAAAAATACAGTTGGGTTCCCCCATCCTTGGTACTGATACATATGGTCGATATCAAAGTGACAAGGTGCTTATGAGGCCTATTAATTGAAAACTTTCTATAGCCTTTTTATATGCTATCAATATAAGAATGTAATAACTTTTTACATATTATTAAAAGACAATGTAATCACTTTCAATATATTATCGATGATAGCTTTTTTTATATATTGCTATAAGTTTTTTAATAGTGTATTAGCAACATATAATGTACCAGCTTCAGGTAATCTAACCAGCTGGATTAGTACATAAGATATGTGAAATCACCAAGAGGCATAAATCAGAAAAAGTTCTGAAGAAAGTAGATAGGTAGATGCTATAAACAAGGAACAGTAGAGAGCACTAATGAGAACTTGGCAGAAGCACGGGACTCTCAGCAAAATAATTGAAAATTACGACTTGGAGGACTAGAAAAAACCCATGAATGTCACCACTGCGCATGCCCTGAAGACAAAGGTTGAAAGTCCACCATAAAGAGGATGGTATCTCATTAGAGGGAGACCCCCAAGACCATCGAATTGAGGATGACACACGCACACTTGTAAAACTGTGATATCATGTATTTCTGTGCCCATGTACGGTTGTGAGTGTATGGTGGGTGTATGGAGGGAAGTGACAATGTTCATGTTCTAACATGCTTACTGTATAAATATGTTCTAATTTGAAGCAAAGTCAGGTGGGTTAGGAGGAGAAATCCCCCTCCCCTCCAGCGCTGCAATAAACAAATACCTGCTCTATAGRCACCAGTCTATGGAGTTTTATTTCTAAGCCTTTTTCGGGCATCAGCACCTACAATACTATTACACTATAAGCACATTTATTTAAGGATATTTCTG